AAATATAGGGTCTCCTTGCTTAAGGCCTTGTGAAGAGGTAAAGAATCCCTTCCTTGTGCCATTGATTACTATAGAGTACCACACATCCGATATCAATCTCCATAAAATATCAATTCATTGTTCGGCAAAAATAAATCTTCTCACCACTGAGGCTAAGAATGACCAAGATAATCTATTGTAAGCCTTGGCCATGATTAGCTTCATGATAATATTGCTCCCTCTGTTTTCCTTGCCAATACCTTGTATGATTTCTTGAACAAGCATGATGTTCTCTATTATGAGTTTACCCTTCACAAAACCACTCTGATTTTTTGAAATAATCATTGGAAGGAGACCATTAAGTCTGGCTGCCAACACCTTAGTGATGATGTTGGTTGTGAAATTAGTTAGACTAATGGGCCTAAGTTCAGAGAAAATGGTTGGAGACTCTCCACTTTTGGTAGAAGAACCAAACATGAATGAGAGTAGAACTTAGTAAGATTTTTGCCGTTAAAAACTTCCTGAATAAAGGCTATGATGTCTTCCTTGATAATCTCCCAGCAGCTTTGAAAGAAAACTCCATTGAAGTCAAATGGACCAGCTGCACTATTGGAATTCAGACTGAACCCAGCAACTTTGATTTCACTCATTTATGGAATAGCAATCAAGGACTCATTCTCCTCTATCGAATTACAATTAGGGATGCATTCTAGGAGTTGATCATTCATGACTGGATCCTCTATGTTAAACAAACTTTCAAAATGTTTTGTGGCAGCCTTGGTAATTTTGTCATCGCCTTTGACCCACCCGTTCCTGTGATTTTTAATTCTATGGAGGTACAATCTTTTTCTTTTGTGTCTAAGCACATTGTGAAATAGCTAGTGTTGTAGTCTCCTTCATGAAACCATTTTATCTGTGACTTTTGCCTTAAAATACTTTCCTGTACTCCAAGCCATTTAATGTACTCCATATGAGCTTTATTTAATTCTTCCCTGCAGTCTTCAATGTTCATGTGAAGGTCGAATTCTTCAAGTTGTTGCACATTTGCTTCCCAATTGTTGAACTGGTCGTAGATGACTCCTAATCTTTCCCTGGACCACTGGCCAAGCCTTTTACTAAGGGTATGTAGTTTGCATTTCAATCTCCACATAGCATTACTTGTGACATGTGTGCTCCAATTGTTCTGGATGAACTCTAAAAATCTGGTTGTTGCACCTAGAGATTAAGGAACCTGAAGTATTTAATCACTTCCTGCTGCTCAATGTGACATTTCATAAGGAGAGGTCGATGATCTGAACCATTACTTACTAAATGCCTAATATAATTATTTTGAAACTTTTGCATCCATTCATCATTAACTAGAACTATGTCGAGCCTTTTACAAATTCTTTTGCTGGGTCTTCGATTGCTGCACCAAGTAAACCTAGGTCCAATATAGCCTAAGTCCACAAGGCCACAGTATTTCATAATAGCAGTGAAATCAATGCTTCTATGAGCTCGATGAGGTCTGCCCCCAGCTTCTCTTCTGAGTTCATGATTACATTGAAATCTCCTCCAATGCACCATGGGCCAGCAATGTCAATTGCTAATGTCTTCAATATTGGCCCAAAGATCTTTTCACTCCCTGGCATTACACTTGGCATACACAGCAGTAACATGAATATCACTCCTATCTTTGTCTTTAATACGTAAAGTGAGTTGTTGATCCTCGTTTGCAGCTATATCCGCCTGACAATTCCAGAAATACCATATTTGGCCATTGGTATTTGCTAAGAAGTGTTAAAAGCCCAAGAAGTTTTTGTAGTCCTCAATCTTTCTACTATCAATGAAAGGTTCAAAGATAGCAACAAAGTCATTTTTATTGATGTTGATCAATTTTTTTAATATGTGAATAGTCTTTTTGGACCTTACCCCTCTAATATTCCAGAAAATTGCACTAATAATAGAAAACTAAAGGTTAGAGGTCCTTATTTTAGCTTCTTTCCTCTGTGGAACAGGAGTGTTATTCTCTATGACACTTTTTCCTTTTCCTCTTTTTCTGCTTCTTCCTCTATCATTAGGTGAGCAATTACCATTTTCAGTCTCCTCTTCATTTTGAGTATTTCCTGAGTTCCCTGCATTTCCTCTTTCTATATCTTTTTTTGGTTCTATATGTACTTCATCGAGCTGCTGTTGATTTACTCATTCCTCCAAATTTTTCTGCTTGTCGCAACTAGAAGTATTGTTACAGCATAAGTCCACAACCAATTGGATTAGTGGTGCCTTTTTGAGCTCAGTGTCAATGCTACTTGTCTGAAAGTTTTGGAGTCTATGTTCCCTCTCCCTTGTTTCAAATGTATCATCTTCACATTGTTCTCTTCTGTCATACATTTCATCTTGTGTACTCTCCAGGTGCTCTTGGTCAGAACTCAATCTTTTTTCTTTATTTTTACTAGAATCACATCTGATATGCCTCCATTGTTGCTCTCCACCATTTCTTATGAAGTAGTTTTGGGCATTACCTTGTTAGGCTGCCTTTTATGAGCTTCCCTTACATTGTTGGTCAAGCTGTTCTCTTCTGGCATTGTCCCTTTATCTTTGTCCAAAACCCCTGTAGAAAAATTCTTCTTGCCTTGATTTTCCTTTGCTTGTTCATCATAATTCGATTTAGTGAACTCTTTAAGCAATTCTTCAACTACTGTATAAGGGGGCATTTGTATTTTGCTTTTATTGTTCATGTTATTCTTCTTCTTACTCTTTCTTTTGCACAACAACAGGTTTGAAAAGAACTATACTTTTTTTGTGCAGCATTTTTTTTCTTCTTCTTCTGTTTACACTTCTTGTTGATTATTCTCCCTTTGCCGATTGATTCATCTTGTTGTTCTTCTTCTTGATCAGAGTTCTTCTTCTTTTCAACATGTTCTTTGGCTCTTTCCTCGGCGTTTCTTTTTTTTTTTCTTCCTATTTCTATTAGTGTTGGGAACTTGCCATTGATTCTTGTCATTAACTTCCTTGGTATTCTGCCCAAGACTAATACCCTTGTTAAAGGTACTAGCTTATCCCCTTCCCTTATTCAGCTGATCCACTTGTTTTGCCTGACTCCCATTGGTTTTACTAGCTTTGATTCTTTTTGATTCCCAGCATCTCCTTGTTTTTTTTTTCATTATTGGCATTCTTCTCTTCTGATTTCTTATTTTTGGCTTCCTTTTTCTTTTGCCTTTCCTTCTCCAGAATTCTACATTGAACTACTGAATGGCCCAAAATCCTGCAATGTTTACAGTATCTTGGAGCTCCCTCATGCTCCAATTTCTAACTGAATCCCTTAAGAATGTTCGATTCATCCTCCTGCCCAACCCACACAGATTGAAGACGCGACTTTATTAGATCCACCTCCACTCTAACCTTGGCCATCCCTGGTCAAGTTCCAAGCCGTGGTGAAGTCCATTGATAGAGGAACACCAACTGGGCTCAAAATCTACTTTATGTAATACCACGTATGGCAGTGAAATGGAAGACCCGGCAGAAGTACCCAAATTGGTATTGTTGGGGAATCCTTCTCGGTCTAAAATCTGGAGTCCATTTTTGTAGCCACATGACCATTCCATCAATTTCAATAGATTATCTGTACCATACAGTTTTGCAATCTTGGTTGTTAGTAACATCGATGAAGACAGTGCGGAAATCACAGGCCCCAATTTTGACCTCTCCTTTAAGAGAGATTTTCTCTGCAAAAACAGACCTAATCCTCTCTATATTTGGGCGATTTCTTAGAAACTTGCCGATGACAGTGAATTTACATTCCCCAGCCATCACACCATAGTAATCAGTAGATTTAAAGATGATAGCGGGCATACCCTTATGGGTAATGCTCCTTGCCTTGACATTCGGATCCCCCAATCGTTTTACCTTTGGATTTTGCAGGAGCTGCTACTGCAGATGCATAATCGACCTTCTAAGGAATTTCTTTCTCAGAGTTGGTCGCCATCATAGTAGGGGAAGTGGGAATTATTTGACGCACTGGGTGCCCGTCGGCGTGCCCATTAGACGATGCGTAGCACCACTTTCCCCAGATTGGGAAAATTTAGTTACCTTTGGGGGAAATAACGTTTATTGTACGGAGAGCATTTTATTTTTCTAGTGAGAGAATTTTTTTATAAAAAAAAATTGATACTATTGTTGTGCTTCACCCAATGATTTCCTAAGCCAAAGACCTGCTAAAAAAACTCCATATATTTGCAACAATTCAACTCGTTGTTTCAAACATTTAATTGTAAATCTAGGAAATAAAATGAGCTATGAGTTTTAAGGCAAGTTTAGAATCCATAAATTTTAAATTCTCGATCCGCCTCAGTCAAGAGTGAGCCAATCAGGACAGCCCGGTGCACGAAACACCCTCCATTCACGTACTGTCCAGAAAAGGGCCACATTCTAAAGGGTATGATGTAGGACGCCTATATACTCTTATAAAGGGAAGAGTTGGAGTAATGGTAAAGATAATTGAGCTTCAGAAACCTTAGTTGCACCATATAAAGCTTGCATCAATAAAGTACCATTACTTACTCTTATCTCCTACTATCTTTGGACTAGTACTGATTTGAAGCAGCCGCAATATATAGCCAGATCTATTCGCAAAGGCAACTTGTGGATCGGACGTACACCATTGCAAACCTAAAAAATTCTTGAAATGGCAGAATGTTTCTAAGTATTTAAAAAATCACAAACCTTCACAACTAGAATCAGCTAAGATCGCTTGAAGTATTCATGACAAATTAATATTACTCGACGCCATAACTGTTAGGGTTTTATCCTGAATACTTAATCTATTAGGACTCTCTTTCTTGAAAGAAGGGAAAAAACTCCTAAAAGAAATAAATTCTGTAATATGCGATATTGATATTTAGCTTAAAGTATATATATATTTATATGTATATCGCTTCAAGTTTTACTCGGGTTTCATGGATTTCGAATGTAAACTGTATTGATTTATATTAATTCGGGGTATTTTTATGTGTAGGAATCATCCGGAAGTAATTGGGGGCGAAATGTGCGAGATTAGAGCCAAAACGAAGGAAAATGAAAATTTTGATTTTCAGCGCCACATGAAGCGCTCCACGCCACCTGTGCCGCCAGAGGCAGAATGCTCAATAAGCCAGTGCCTGGGCCAACGTGGGGCGCTTGGCTGGATGCTGGTGAAAAGAAATTTGTCCAAGTTTGCTGAGACAAGGTTATTTCGGTCCTAGACCTACCCAACGAATATAAAAGCAAGACTAAGTTTATTTTTAGGGGGGAGACACCACTTTGAAGAATAATTACACACGGGAAGCATTCAGGAGCAAGGATATCTCAGATTTTTTCATCTTTTATTAGTATTTTCAATTATCCATCACTTATGAATTTGTTTGATACTATCATGAGTGGCTAAAACCCATAGTTCTGGGGTTGTGATTTAGCCATTAATATTGTTGTTTAACGTTGACTTAACCTTGATTATAATTATTCAATATATGGTTGTTTCTTCAATTCTGTGATTAATTGCTTAATTGTCTGGCCAGCAGTTAGGTTCTATTTACTATCTATGCTATGCTTGGGAAAGCCATGTTTAGATTAGAGAAGAATTAAAGAGAGCACGATCTTAACTCTGAGGGGGGTGGATTTGTGGTTAGGATAGGAATATACCTAGTCACCGTGCTTAATTAAATATCGTATCTTAATGCGTTCTAAATAGATTAATTTCGTAGGAATATATGCGTTAATCTATTTTGAATAGGCGAGTAGTACTTTGGAAGAAGGCTATGAGAGCAATTATTCGATTAATTAGCAACCATGAGTGAATTGTATGAAAGGGAGAGTTAACTAGAACACAATAAGATTGGTGAATCGATCACAACACTAGAATATTGTCTCTACTGAATACACAACAACCTTTTTACTGCTTGATAATTTAATTACTACATAGAATTATTATTTAGTATAATTATACTCTTGAACTCGAATAGGCTCGACTGAATAGCAATCTTGATGAATTTAGTGAGTAGTTGATACAAGTCTCTATGAATTCGACACTCGACTTATTATTTTATTACTTGTACGACCATGTATAGTACTTGCGTGTGCATTTAGGAGCAATAATTATCCTTTCTTGGAAGAGAAGTTTTGCACTTTTATAAATTGAGGCTTCCTTATCACACAATAACAATAACAATCTCCTCAACGTAGCCTTTTAGAGAGTTTTATTTAGGGAAGACTGTTCTCTCAAAAAAAAAAATTAGTTTCTCATTTGATATTATTGTGATGAATCATATGTAGGCCGATTGACCAAACCACAATAAATTATTAGGCCTAGTTTAGTATATTTTTCTTTGTTGTCTAATTTATTATCTTAAAGGTTTGCATTGTTAGCTTCAACATGTACCATATTATTTCGATCCTTTTCTTGGAGGAACAACAACAACAACAAATATCCACAATGTAGTCTTTTAGAGATTTTTGTTTAGGGGAGACTACTCTCTCAAAATTTTAATTCTCTTTTTATATTAGTGATGAATCATATGTAGGTTGATTGACCAGATCATCATTAATTTATTATGTCTAGTTTAATATATTTTTCGTTGTTGTCTGATTTATCGTCTCTAAGGTTTACTTTGTTAGCTTTTGCACGCATCGTATTATTTCGTTCCCAACAATAGCTTGGTATAAGAAAGTAATAAAGAAAAGTTGTTCCTAAAGATGTATGAATTCTTATGATCAAAATAGACACCTCACGCGGCTGAGGAAAATTGAGGATTTGAACTTTATGAATTCGAGTTTGGAATGCCATAACGCGTCGTTTGATTTACTTGTTCAGAATCATTGGTATTTATCTAATGAATGTTTTAGGAATTTTTACATTCCTATACACTATATGAAACTATGTTACCCTCCCTACTCAAGTTTTACTATAATTATATTTTATATACCCAATTACCATTTATGTACATTTTAAGGGAATTAATGATAATAATTAGTGTCTTAAAAGTACTCTAACATATCTTCCACTCCCCCACGTCTCTCTCTCCACATCCCACCTCCACCCCCACGTATCTTGCACCCACCCATGATTCCACCATTGACAACCATTAAAAAGCTTTGAAGTTTTGAATTCGAATTTGGGTTTTCAAAAAATATTATTTGTTTGAATTGGATGTTGTTGCAAAGAATTGGGAATTCACTCTACGTCTCTCTCTCTATCTCTCAATGCCTAATTTCAGTATTGTAAAGCAAAGGAAAAGAGAGAGCAGCTATTCCACCATTGACAGCCATTAAAAAGCTTTGAAGCTTTGAATTTGAATTTGGGTTTTCAAAAATCATTATTTGTTTGGATTGGGTATTGTTGCAAACAATTGGTAACATAGTTTGGAGTTTATATCTCAATTTTGAGGGGTTTTGGTGAAGATTAAACTTGGTTTTGGCTGAATTTCAGATTGAAACTCGAAGAAGAAGAAGAAGAAGAAGACATGATATACATTATATTTATGAATTTGTAGAAAAATTATATTCTGTTGTTTATATTTATTTATTTATTTATTTAACTATTGTATGAAAGTTGAACAACATTGTATAAAAATTATATTTAAGTTGTATGATATTGTAGTTGTATATAACTGAGTAGAAATAATGTATGAAAATTGTAGATAAGTTGTATAATATATAATCCGTTGTATGAAATTTGTTTTTACTATGTATAAATCAGATACAAAATATACAAAAGACATATTGTATAAAATTTGTATAAAATTTGTATCTAAGTTGTATGTTATTGTAGTTGTATTTAACAGGGTAGAAATAATGTGTGAAAGCTGTAGATAAGTTGTAGATAAATTGTATAATTTAAAATTAGTTGTATGAAATTTATTTTTACTATGTATAAATTAGATACAAAATATACAAAAGACATATTGTATAAATTTTGTATAAAATTTGTATTTGTTTCTATGCAGCTTTATTCACTTTTAGGGTTCTTTTATCATTTAATTATCTTCTTTTCTTTAACTTGAAATCTTAATCCATATACTGGAGATTATTTCAAATGTAAAGCCATAGGTAAGAGATTATTTTGTTAGTGAAGATAGTCCTGCTACTTTAAAATCATATCGTCATGCTCAGAGGTGGAATGTATATATTTTGTCACTATCCATGACACTTCCCAAGGTAATCATGCCATCAACTTTCTCATCTCTTGACCTGTTTCAGTGTTCAAAAGAACAAATAGAGCATGTTGTAGAAACCTGTATTACGTGATAGAAACTTTTTGGCTTTTGCTAATGTTTACGTGCAAGAAGTTGACTGCGTAGGTTTCTTATATTTCAGCTTGTAGTCGTGTAACTGATGGCACATGCATGTGTTTTTTTTTTCCTGTTCTTTGCTTAAGGTCTCTGTACGAGTTCATCAGTGGAATTTATTTTAATCCTAGAAATGGTAAAGCTATTGAAAAGTATGGTCTTAAATCATTTCGCAATTCACATACAATAATTCTGAACAGGAATAAATTTTCTTTGCCCCCCTCCCTGTTCCTGCCTTTTTGTCTTCTAAGATATGATCTTCTCTTGTTTGGTGCAAGTTGGGTTGCTTAAAATATGCAAACTCCAGATATATATTGTTTGTGTAGGTACACTATGAGATTTATTGTATTCACCTTCAACTACTTGCTAATTAATTACGTACTATTTTTTTTGGTGCATTTTATCTTTATAAATCACAGGTTGCTACATCAAACAATCACTTTTTATCTCACTCAGGAGTCTATCAAATGGACCGACACACAACTGAATTAAGAGGAATTGAACAAGTGAAGAAAGTTTTTTCCTGTTTGTTTCGTTAATGCTTGTGCGCGAAATCACAGAAAATTGAATCAACTCTATTGCCGCATGAATGTGAATAATTCCGGAAGTGATTTAAGGTGGAACTAAATCCCTTAATTGAATGCACTAATAATGGATTAGGAGCCTTTTAAGGTGGAATGTATATATTTTGTAAACAAAACTTGCGTAGGTAGGATAATTTACTAAATAAGAACATTTAGGATAATAAAGTTTCTAATAGTGTATAAGAATAAAAAAATTCCGTATATGTCCAACCCAAAATTACTGGTTCATCTAAATCTATAACTGAAACTCGACATCCATCCCTAAAGAAATTATGTTACAATGTGTGGGGAGAAGGTTAGACTATTCCGAAAAAGAAGAACAAGAAATCCTCTGCCAATAAAGAACATACAATAAGTCGACTTGCGATTTTTTTTTATACCAGAATTGTTAGAAACAGTAGAAAAAGCTAGCAAAAGTATTTTTAAATCTCTTGTGCAATGAATCCAATCCTAAACTTTTATATAATGCATGCATCCGATGTTGTCTCCTTGACTTGTGTCTTGACGATGACTCCATCTCTCTCGTTTTTGCAAGCTTCTTTTTTTTTTTCTCCCTTCAATATCCTCTAAAATGGAAGAAGATGATGTACATGTTTAGCGCCACAAATTTCATTATGCTCAGAAATTTCTCTGGGTTATTTTTAACACTAAGTTACAAAAATTATTCTTTTATTCTTAAATTCCATGCCAAGTGAAGCACGATGCACTGAGTAATTAAGAAGCTTTTTGCAAGAGGTCGATGTTGAAGAATCTCAGGATTATAGTTTTCATGGCGATTCTAACGCTATGTTTGCTGCTATTGCCACTGCTTCTGCCACCCCTTCCGCCACCGCCACTTTGGATTCTCCTCATTCCAGCTTTGTTCATGTTTTACCTCATCTTCTTGGCCTTTTCTCCTTCGTTGTTACCCAAAGATCCCATGTAAGTGAGAGACTTGGCGAAAGCATACACCCATGTTTCTCCTTTGTCTATTATATTCTCCAAGAAGGTTCTTCTTAGTTAATCTAGTGCGTATTTTAATTAGCTCAATCTTTCTAAAACTAGATCTCGGCTGTACAGCAAACTGTTATCACGGTGGATATATCATATTCGTGAAGTTTTAAGGCTCAAGTTAGGTAGGACTATTGACTTCTATTTTCTTGGTTTATTCTGCAGCAAACTAACATATTGAATACTTTCTTGGTTTAAGTGGCTAACTTAGATCTTATGATCAAGGGTTGTCATCTCTGAACTAACATTTGTCCACTTAACAAGTTTTAGATCCGCATTTTGCGATAACCATTTCATTTTATCTTTTTAGATCAAAAACACCCATGTAGAGT